GACATTAATTGGCCAACTGAAAATATATAGAAAAAATTGAGCGGGCTGGTGGGCGCATGCCTGTAGTCCCAGCTACTCGGGAGGCTGAGGCAGGAGGATCGCTTGAGCCCAGGAGTTGGAGGTTGCTGTGAGCGAGGCTGATGCCACGGCACTCTAGTCTGGGCAAGAAAGTGAGACTCTGTCTCAAAAAAAAAAAAACAACAACAAAAAGGACTGCAAATATGATTTCAGGGAGAGGAAGGGAATTTGCAACCGCAGAACTGAAGGACTTCAGAAGCAGCCACTTATCCAAGCGAGGTGCAAATGCATTTAACGACTTAAAAAAGGAGTCCGAGTGGCAACTGTCTTTCTCGTGTTCCTGAGCCTGGCCTGTGAGCACACACGCACATCTCAGCCTGGCCTGTGAGCACACACGCCACCTCCACAAGGCGTCCCCCGCCCCCAGACGCCACGGCAGCTCCCTCCCCACGGGGCGGGTGCAGGAAGGAGGAGCCCCCGCCCTGTCTGGCAAGTGGCAGGTGAGTGACAGGTGGGGTCCTTCCGTTCTCCTGTGCTTCGCGAACAAAACTCCCCAAGAATCAGGCCACCGAGCTAGGAATCTGGGACCCCGCCAGTCAATTTAGGACAATGCCTAAGGAGCCTGCAATCCTCTCTTAAGCTGTTAAAAAAAACAACAAAATTCTTCAAGTCAATTGTGAGCGGTCCCGGTGCTTACCCATGGTGTGTTTCTCTGCTCCTGAATTTCTCCAAGAAAAAGTGAACTAATGAATGTGTATGTACGTAAGTTCAAGGTCTGCTCAGACACCTGTTAGCAGCCTGGCCCCTACAAAAGATTGGGAAATAGGGGAAAAAAAAAAAAACATTCCCTCCCTTCTCCTGGCGTCCAGCCCTTCCTGGACTCCTTTGGAGAAACAAAAAAGAAACTCCTTTTTGGTTCACTTGTGGCTGGTCCTGCTGCAAAACCAGTTCCTCCAGGGAGGCTCCCCAAGGTACCTGGCTTTGAATTTCCTGGCGCTGCAGAAGGGGGAGCACTCAGAAGGGAAGAGGGAGGAGGAGAGAAAGGAAAGCTGGAGGGAGGCTGGCGCCCCCTAGAGGCCGAAGGTTGGTTCCAGGGAGCACTTGAACTTGAACTTGAACAGGGCTTGTCCAAAGTCAAAAGGGACCTCAAAGGTAGTGCAAAAAGGGGAATGTAATTTTATACTGATTAACATGTTTTATGTTCATGTATAATACATGTACATATTCTTGGGTTGATTCAATGTCAACACTGTAAAATTTTTTTATAGCCCATCCTTCTGTAGAAGCCAATATTTTTAGATATATTTGATCACAGTTATTAAAATTAATTTTTACTAGTTTTCCATTTTTCCCCTTTGATAGTTTTTTTTTTTTTTTGAGACAGTCTCACTCTGTCACCTGGGCTAGAGTGAGTGCCGTGGCGTCAGCCTCGCTCACAGCAGCCTCCAACTCCTGGGCTCAAGCGATCCTCCTGCCTCAGCCTCCTCCCGAGTAGCTGGGACTACAGGCATGCGGCACCACCATGCCCGGCTCACTTTTTCTATGTATTTTTGGTTGGCCAATTAATTTCTTTCTGTTTATAGTAGAGATGGGGTCTCGCTCTTGCTCAGGCTGGTTTCGAACTCCTGACCTTGAGCGATCCTCCCGCCTCGGCCTCCCAGAGTGCTAGGATGACATGCTTGAGCCACCGCGCCCAGCCTCCCTTTTACAGTTATTTTTTTTTTAAATAATTTAAATAATTTTTTTACTTATATTCTTTTTACTTTTGTTTTTTATTGCCTGTGATCAAAATACTTCAGATCCTTTTATAGTTTTTAGTGTGGCTACTAGAAGATTTAAAAATATATACACACACAGAGCTCGAGTCTTATTTCTGCCAGACAGCACGGTTCTACAGCACGCTAGACGCGACCTGCAAAGTGGGTTCTGAGCTTCCAATCGGCCAACGCGAAGAAATGACGACTACTCAGGGTAGAAAAAAATAAATCAGTTTCTCAGACACGTAATCCCTTGTTATAGAAGGAGGAAAAAAATGCATCGCCAGGGACCAAAGGAGTTGACAGCCTACGCGGTCAACAGGCACATTCTGAACTCGCAACTCAAATGCAACAGGAAACCCCACGTGGCTGCTTCTCGCGTGCCCACGGGCTAGTGACAGAACCCAGGAGCAGCCTGCTGGGGCCCGGTGACACTCGTCACGGCTCACAAACCCCTGTGCCACAGCTCACGGTCGTAACGCTTGAGGGACAGCCAGTGGTGGTGGAGAGAAAGAATCATCTGGAAACTATGGGGTTAAAATTAAACCCCACCACTGGTACTGGCAACCCCCTTGTCAATCAGACACCTCAGGGTGCCCAGGATACCCTTGTCACCAAACGGCCCAGTGGAGTGTCTGGAATTTTAGGGTCTCGGGCCGCACAGCCGGTCTAGCAGGCGTTGCCAGAAGATGGGAAGTTTATTTTTTGGAAAAGTCAAAATTTGCTGAAATCCACCCAGATGGCTACGAAGGCACATACGAGGTCGCCAGTTGAACGTGGTTTCTCTGTGTCGTTTGGACGGCTGAGGACACAGCGCGCTTTTCTAAACGGAAGGTGTTTCCAGAGAGTTGATGACACACACACACGGGTCCCCATGGCGAAACTAGGCAGAAGCCACCCACAAGGGCCACTGCTCCAAGAAAACAACGAAGCCCACCAACCTCACTAGCAGGGACATTTTGGGCAAAAGAAAATGAAAACAAAATTAAAATGAAGAAAGAAAGAGAGAGAGAGGAGAGAGAGAAAGAGGAGACAAAGAGAGAGGAGAGAGAAAGAGAGAGAGGAGAGAAAGAGGGGAGAGAGAGAAAGAAAGAGAAATAAAGAGAGAGAGAGAGAGAGAGACAGAAAAAGAAAGAAAAGAGAAAAAAGAAAAGACAGAAAACAAAGCCCGGCAGTGGACTGGGAGTTGATGTTTGTGTACTGTCATGTTCCTTAGGACAGGCCGGCTGTGACTAGAAACCAAGGCGACAGACCTTATAAACCACACGCCCGTCACTCCTCTCAGACTGGTCTCTGGGGGTGCCAGCTGGTGACTCAAGACGGCTGTGGTTTGTTAGGGTTTGCCCTGAGAATTAAGGTCTTCCACGAGCCGAAATGCAAATTAGTGTTCTGAAGTAGCAAAAAGTGCTTGCGCCTGTACAGCATCTTTACTTGCGGTATGATCGTTTGTTTTGTGAGACAGAGTGTCACTCTGTCGCCAGACCTAGGTGATGCCGGTGGCGTCAGCCTGCCGCTCCCACGAGCAACCTCCAAACTCCTGGGGCTCAAAGCGATGCCTTCCTGGCCTCAGCCTCCTCCCGAGCTAGCTGGGACTACAGCATGACGGCCACCAATCGCCTGCGGCTCACTTTTTTTTCTCGTATATATTTTTAAGTCTTGGCCAATTAATTTCTTTCTGTTTTTAAATAGAGACGGGGTCTCGCTCTTGCTCAGGCCTGGTTTCCGAACTCCTGACCTCGGAGCGATCCCTCCCGCCTCGGCCTCCCAGAGTGCTGGGATGACAGGCGTGAGCCACCCGCGCCCCGGGCCTGGTGGCCTGCTGTTTTGAGTCACCAGCTGGCAC